TTTTTCTTTCCCAGATGAGTACAGTGGTGGAAGAAAATCTGAAGGGATTTGAGAATGAGGAAAAGAATAATTATAATGAGGAGCCACAGATGAGCTAGTCAAGGAAGGAAGCAATGACATGAGGGAATGATAGCCAATGAAAACGTAGCAAAGTCAATGGCTTGTCTACTCTTTGGGAGTTTCTAAGAATTTTTGGAGTGATGGTGTTAAGGGAATTACCTAAAAAGGGAATAGATGATGATGAGGCAGTGAGTGCTTGAAATGGAAATTTTGGTGATAGTGTAGTTATTGGAAATGGCGTGGAATAAGGAAAACCATAGGCATGGGTGGCTGATGTTCGGGCAGGAGAAGATCAAGATTTTCAGGAATGATCAGCTCAAGGAGCTGAGTGGCCAAGTTGGTGGATGGCAGAGGAGTATTGATTTGGGGAAGAAAAAAAAAAACAGGTGCTAAATAATTGGTCATGTGACATGTACTTCTATGGAGTTATTAGGGAAGTGGGAAGATCTGAGGTCTGGAAGTTACATCAAAGAGCAAAGCAAGACCTATCTCTCTTACAAGCTAATGACATGCAGATTGTGAGAAAGGAGAGTAGCCATCCTTGGGAGGGCTGCAAGAAGTGGTGTCTTTAGGAGGCAACCATGTTTGGGAGAAGATTTAGGGGAAGATAATGGCAGCTGTTAGGCTCTAGCATGTATAACGGAAAAGTCTGAGGAGTGGAGAGAGAATCAGAGTTTGAAGCAAATGAGGGAACATGCTGAGCAATGTAGGAATAAACATAATAGTGAAGGCAAATGACATATTTGGATGATTTTGGCAATAGGTGACCGAGGATGCGGGCAAGATGGCACAACCCTAGAGATTACTTTGGTGTGATATGTAATGGATTCTAGTGAATCACGAGGAGGCAGGGAATGTGTGTTGGCAGGAGAGGGATTGGATGGCATAGTGTTCACAAAAACAGGTGGTAGGCTGGAGGCCAATTTAACACCTTATTCAAACAATTCAGTACTTTCTACTTGAATGGGCTGGTCTCACCTGGGTTTAGCCCTCCAAGGGCTAGAAAGGTAGCAGCTACACATAGTCCATTAATAAAGAGTGTCATTCAGTCCCGGACCTGAGCCAAAAATGGTGCATTAAAAAACGCACTTTACATCTGCTAAACTTTATACTCGAAGATCTACAGTAGGTTTGGTAGGTTTTAGCTGCTTGGGGAGCTGTTAGTTTTTCACATCACTTTGCAGCAAGGAGCCCTTAATCTGGGCAGTCAACTCATTCCCCACTTGTGCAATTAAAGAGACTATAAAGAGAATAACAAAATAGGCCTTTGAGAGTCACAATTCCATACTCTTTTTCTGTGGTTTGTGAGTTCCAACAGGGCAAAATGTGTCTGGCTTTGGCTGTTTTATTTGGATATAAGGGAGTGGAAGCCACATGGGTCCTGTTTTCCCATCTCCTGGTGGTGTGTAAGTGAGTCTTTAAGCACAAGGCCACCCTAATGGCACACACATGATAGGTCATTTTTATTTCATTGGAAAGGCCCCCTAGGCTCCGCCCTGAAGGCACTTAACACATATATTTTTCCCTGGACTAGAGAAGCTCCTGCCCCAAACTGCTATCCTGTCTGATAACTTCCTACCTATTCTTTAGGACTCACATAATATAGTCATGGCTCTGACATGCTTTTCCCAGACTCACTTTTGTGGTCTCTAACTACTTTCAGAGAACACCATCTCATGTGGTGGTTATTTATAAACTAGGTATCCCATGCATCTAGTCTAGTGCTGACATGACACATAGAGGCCTTCAATAAATATTCACTAATGGTGGTGCTGATGTGAGTCTAGACACATTCACTGGTCATATTCTTAGACTTTCATTATACTTTACCCAAGAGCTTTAAAACTGAACATATTCTTCAGTGTCCAAACAGACAGAGTTGATTCAGGGACATTTATGGGTGGTCCTTTGGACATTATTCTCAGATCATGGATGCAATTGTATTATCTCAGGTAAAAAAGATACCTTGGGTTACCTCTTCCTTGCTATCAAATCTCTGGTGGATTATCTGGGCCAAAGTAAAATTAGCCTCTCTGGGACAAGGACAGAATTGTATCTTCTGCTGGTGAACATGCTGGCCAAATTCTTGAGGCCAGAATTCTATTTTCTGGAAGCTGGAACACCCTTTGAACACTCAATAGAAACAGAATAGAAATAGAAACGTTTGAGTGCTGACAGCTACCATTTACTGAACACTTACAATATATATTGTGCTAGTCACAACTTAGTCATTTCTCAAGACAAAATAAAACAAAAACCCAATGAGGAAAAGACACTAGTATTATCCTACTTTACAGAAAAACAAATTGAGTCTTACAAACGTCATGTAACTTTTCTTAAATTCTTATACCTACAAAGTGGTAGAACTGAGATTTGAATCTAGCTCTCTGATTCCAAAAGCTTATGCATCACCATTTTCTGTGATGCTATTCTAAGTAGGATGCAGTTCTGCAGTGAAAGGAACACTGAGGTTTTTGGCTGGTACCACAGTCTTCAAATTCTCCTGGATTTCCAAGGGGAGATAATTATATTGATGATTTAAAGTATCCTACCTGGAAATGCCCTATTTTTTTTTTCATTTAGGGCTTAGCTTGTGAATAAATAAAAATAAATAGGAATGACATTAAGTCCCTTCACGTTTTTAGTCATTTAATAACAAAATGACATATAGAAACTACATTTACATTTAAAAAGCATAGACTTCAGGGATCCCTAGGTGGCTCAGCAGTTAAGCGTCTGCCTTCAGCTCAGGGCATGATCCTGGGGTCCCAGGATCAAGTCCCACATCTGGCTCCCTGCATGGAGCCTGTTTCTGCCTCTGCCTGTGCCTCTGCCTCTATCTCTGTGTCTCTCATGAATAAATAAATAAAATATTTTTTTAAAAAGTATAGACTTCAGTTCGCCTACTGTCATTCACAATTCTATTTTAAATGTTCTCTGAAGGATACCCAGCCATATGGCTTGGCTAATGAAACCAACATTATAGACTCAACACTTGGAAGCAAATCCTTTCTCCTGAACACATAGTTTAAGAATCATTCTAGTTACCTAAATAGTTTTATTTCTATTTATTTTTTTAAAGATTTTATTTATTCATGAGACACACACACACACACACAGATTGGCAGAGACACAGGCAGAGGGAGAAGCAGGCTCCATGCAGGGAGCCTGACTTGGGACTGGATCCTGGGTCTCCATAATCACGCCCTGGGCTGAAGGCAGGGGCTAAACATCTGAGTCACCTGGGCTGCCCTACCTAAATAGTTTTAAAGAAGCCTATACAGGATGTAGCAAATGAACACTTGGTACTCTCTACTTATTTCCAATTTGTTTTTATGTCAATTTGCAGTTGATATTTTCTAGGCATTTGGCTGGATTAATAGAAGAACTAATAGAAACCCAGATGGACTAGCTACTCATGGTATCCATTGATCAAAGGTTATCATCACTGAGATTGATAATTAAAATTAACGGCAGCATCCATCATAAATCAAAGGCCAGATTTATGGCTAACTCTCCATGCTGGCACTCTATGGAATAAAAGGTAGAGATGGAGGGATTTGAGAACAATAGGACAACAATTCTAGACTCTTAGGTTTGGAAGCTCCATTTATTAATAGAGCTGTCAGCGGAGCTAAGTGGTGGTCCCTGGGATAGTCACATTACATATCACTTTTAAGTATTACAAAATTCCTAATTGGTAGGAGTTATTACTTCCACTTTACAGAGGGAAAAACAAGAGGCTCAGACAAGTTAAGTGACTTGTCGTTGCTGTGCATCTTGCCTAAGGTATGTCGAGATGCATATCTAGGTCTGTTTGGCTCTCCGTTTCCTGCTATTTCTATTCTACCATGCTGCTTCAAAAATGTTTCTTATTTGGTGAAGAAAATAATCAGACATGGAAAAGACTAAAAGCAATACACAAATTGGGAGCACAAGGTACTTAATTCTCAGTTGAGATCCTAGAAGCTTTATAGGGGAACTGATGCTTGATTTAGCTCTTAAAAAAATGGTAGGACTGTGCCAGATAGAAGGAAGGTAGTCAAGATGGACATGACAATAAAAGGTGGAAAGTTTCACAGGCATGAAATGGCACAGCAGGGGTGAGGGAAGTGGTAGGAGGTGAAAATAAAACTGTAGGTCACAGCCTTATCCACCGTGTTAAGGACATATCCTGTGGGCAAGTGAGATTCTTCACATGATAGTAGTAAGGCCATGATATGGTCAGATGGGCAGCCTGGAAGGAATATCCTGCCAAAGGAGAGATGCTTTCCTCAAAGATGAAGAGCAACCGATCAAAGAGAATAGATTCAAAAGGCAAGGGTGAGTGGACTAGATAGTACTTGCTGAGTGAATTTCAGAGTGAAGAAGAGTGGAGAGAAAACAAGAATGAACATTTAGGGCATCTTTTTTGTACACTCGGGGCTGTGCTCAGCTCTCACACAATCTACACCTCAATGAAACTACGTTAACAAGTCCATGAGAGGAGCATCCGTGTTATTTCCAGTCTACATAAAAAAAAGTGATGCCTAGAAGTCTGAGTCACAGCTAGTGAATTGTGAAAAAATTGAATGCAGGCAAGTTGACCGTATGGCCTTTGATTTTTACTATTGCATCCTTCAACTTGGGATGAGTCCCAAGGTTTTCACTCACTAGGACAGGGACTGGAGAGAGATGGAAATGTATAGAGAAAGACCCATTGAGATCAACATTGCACATTTGAGTTTGACTTTTCTATATGATACTCAGGTGGAAGTATCTGGTTAAAGAATCAGAAGAGAGTGAGAACAGGAAACTAAAGGTAAAGAAGGTATCATTATTACAGATAGTGGTTAAAACCCAGGGACCATGAACAAAAGTGAATGGTGACAAGGCTGGATGTGGTAAAGACTATTCTCCTCTTTGAAATAAGACATAGAACCTTCTAAACACAATCCTATAAACTCAAGCAGTCTTTATTTCTAATCATGCCTTTTGTGACTTTTTGTTCTAGTGTGAGAAGTATTTATTTGCCTGGCTTCTCAAGATCACTTGGAGTGTGAAGAGTTGTTTTCCCCAAATTCCAGCTCCAGAGAGCCCTGGGCTCCTCTAGAAGGTCACAATTACTAATAGTCATACATTTGTCAAAACCGGACCTTTACACCTTCACGTCTTAAAATTATTGTGAACAAATACATTTGCAACTGGGAAGAACAATATTGTAAAAATTAGAAGCAGAGTAGTTGTTCTTTCCAAACATGTCTCCTTCTCCTTCTGGTCTATCTGCTCCATCCCCTCCTCTTGCTACACTACCTTTGTCCACTGTCCTGTAGACAGAATCCCAGGTGCCAAACCAACAGAGGCCTGAGTGAGAGAAAAATGTCACTACTTGGCACATACTCTAGCAGTTTAACTGAGAGGGTTACGGTCTCACCAGATCACTGCCTGCATTGTAAAGTGTGTTCGCTGGGGGCATGGAGGAAAGGTCTGAGCAGACAAGAGGTGTTCCTGTGGCACAGCATAACAAGTGGTGTTTTTCAACCTCCCAAGAGTGGGAAGAAGTTTTCTTGAAACCATCTAGCAGTTACAGGGACTAGATCCAGAAGGTCAGAGTAATTCATGGCATGACTCATTTTATGCTTTTACCACTTCCCCCCCACCCCAAAGTGCATCCTGCACGGGAGACATGCATCTGTGCAACGGACCAAGCAGACAATTGGCCTTGAGAAGGGGGCTTTTTTATAAAATCCAAAATTCTCTGTGTCCAGGCACCTCACAAAGAAAACCGAGCAGTGTCGAGGGAAAAACTTAAAGAGCAAATCAAAGGTTCCTGGTGATTCAATTGTATTTTATAAAACTATTTACATTTCTCTTTTTGGTCAATGGCGAGGTCTATTGGCACAAACAGCACAGCCACAAAGTATTGTTTTGATTTTAATAACTCATCTGATATATATTTATATATATTTATATATCCGCTTATCTTCGTTTCCTCAGCAAAAGGGGAAATAAAAATATTGATCTATAAAATAAGCTGATGATAACACAATGCCAAAAATAGCTTATGTTAAGTGCAAGGGGTGAAGCTTGGAAGCAAGCTAAATTGCAACAACATATTGATTTAACATTTTAAATACAAGACTTGCAATAAAATAATTCTTGAGATATGCTTCTCATTTTTTAGCTTACTTTTTAAAAACTACTCTCTATACACATATCCAGTTGTAACACTTGACAGTAGCATTATGGGGCATGATATAACTTTGGTACACATTGCAGATATGGATGGATAATGTCTATAAATGATATTCCTTCACCAGTTAGAGCACTGTACAGCAGGTGACCAGCCACCTGATCCCATGTAATTTTTCCACCGGAACCCCAGAGCCCTTCCCAGATCCGTTGGGAGACAACGGGAGGAAGCAGGCTCACTGGATCCATATTGTGTTTCCTCTCTCGGTTCTCCTGGGTTCCACTGTCAGCTCCCCAAACGTGGAAAAAAACTGCTCCATTTCTTTCTGAAGCATGTCATTTCTTTTCTCTGCATCTTCTTTTGCTCGCTCAGCGTTTCGCATTTTGATTTCTATCATTGTGAACTTTTTCCTTTCTTGATCCAGTTCATCGTGGAGGGTCATCATTTCTGTTTCCAAAGTCAAGTTTCGCTGTTCCAAGCTAGATGGGAGGGAGGAAATAAAAGGGAAAGTGATTTTATTCACTTGAAATGTGACAGGGACACAGATTTTCTGAACTCTGTCTCCACAATAGTTAGGAAATTGTAACGGGCCCTTTGGAACCAGTGAAGCAAGGTCTAATGGTTTAAAAGATGTATTTTTATTCATTCATTCATTGTATATGCTAGGATGATTTACTATCATTTTAACAAGAAGACCCCAAGACCTCACTTGGAAGCACTTAGTTGGTATCTGATTGTGAATAAATGAATGTCAGCACAGAGAAGCTGGAGATTGATTATCAGGGAGCACAGAATGGCAGATGTAGGAGGCAACCCAAAGCACAGGGCTTCCTGGACTCATTTCATGTGAAGCTGGCTTTATTAAAAGAAAGGGGAAAGTCTGGTAAAGTGGGAAGGAAAGAGGACATCATATTTGCTTTCAATCAAGGGAAAAATAATGATAGTGAAAATGTCATTGCTAGGTATTTCACAAGTCTCTTATGCCAGAAAGTCACGAATCAAAAGTGGCATAGCAATATTAGTATCCAGAAAAAGTAGGTTTCTGGCAAAAAAAGTGATTACAATTAAAGATGACCATTACTTAATGACAAGAGGACTAGTTCATCAGGGAGATATAAACAATACTTTATTTTTATTTACCTAGTAGTCTAGCCTCAAAGTATTCAATATAAAATTTAACAAAATTATAAGGAGAAATTGATAAATCTATAATAACATTAGGAGATTTTTCTTTCTCAGAAATTATAGATCTATCTGATAGAAATTAGGGGAAATGTAAAAGATTTGAACAACTTGATTGACAGACTTGATCTATTAGTCATATATAGAATCTCAAACCAGTAAAAAGAGAATAGTTTTAACCAGCCTAAATAATTGATATCATAGAAACAATTATCTCCGAGCACAAACAGTAAAGTTAGAAACTAATTTTGAGGGAGTAAAAGAACATGAAACTTACATGTTTAAAAGCTAAACAACATATATCAGTGATTGATAACTAAACAAAGTAAAATATTATCTATCACCTACCTATATCATCTATCTATGAATTTGTCTCTAACTTTAATATTTATGGGATGGAGTTTAAAAGAAATTGAAAGAGAAATGTATGCCTATAATTAAGAATGACCAAAATTTACTAGAACAAATAACCTCTCCTATTTCTGTGGTTTGGGCATGGGGCAGCTCCTCTGCCCCACTCTGCTGTGTATCTTCTCCTCTAGTGGTCAGGCAGGTAAGAATGCTACAGTAAAAGGGCCCATTGAGATGACATTCTCCTGGGAAGTTCAATTATTTTATCAAGGTCTCTGAAATGTGCCACAGATTACAGAACATAAATAGGCCACCAATGTTCTCATAAGTGAATGTGTCCACCAGCAGCCATTCAGAACAGCTTTTTCCCCTCTGTTCATACAAGTACTAAGTTGATAGTGCTATCTCTCGCTTGCCAGTGCTAAGTGCTAAGTTATCATCATGCATTGGCAGAAACTCCAGAGTTCTGGTAGCCAGTGGTTCCAAAAACTACACTTAGAAACAGAGTTACCTTATAAGCAGAGGACATTTCTTTTCTTCCATAAACCTCCTGTCACGTGGCATTATATAGAAAAATTCAAGCCAAGTGTCTGCTCAGGAAGGTTTACAAAAATGACTTTCTAAGAAAGTAATTTTTCAACCTAACGTATAAGTAGTACTTCAGTTTACTTGACCAAAGTTCTTGGAATATGTATCGTTTGGCCTGATAATTGACAAATGGGTGGGACACATAGTAAAATACGTTGGAGCCAACTTTATGTATAAGGAAGGAGCCCCGTGGCGTCTGGAGCCATGGCAGCAATTGAAGTAGGACAAAGAATGGTGTCCATTACTGTGAGGACCCTAGAACACCCATGAAGGAGGAGGGCCACCAAGTCACACAGCCTGACACTGGCCGCTCCATGCTGAACTGAGCCTCGGGCCGTCTCCTCCTGGAGAGTTAGTGTCCTTTCCCCTACACTAAGCTGAAGGGAGAACATAAAGACCATAGGTTTTAGAATTTCTGTAACCACGGTGAAAACGCGGGGGTGGGACTTGTGGTTTCTGGCCCAGGGTCCTGTTTGTGAGCCTTGGGCTCATTCTCCATATTCCCACCTCTCAAGTCCATGGAACATCTGAGAGTCAGGGCTGTGAACACAGGACACCCGGCAAACACCTCTTATCCAGCCTAGGCAGCTTCCCTAGAGAAGTTGCTAAGCATACTTCCACCTTGGTCGCCTTATGAGAAGATGTAAACTGATATAAATTAGGTTTTGGCATAATTCTTCCTTACAAATCACAGTTTTTGCTCCTTGTTTAGCCTACAGTTTCCCTTGTCCATATGAACACACGTCATATTCACACCTTTCTCAAAACCTCCATGGACTCCAATCTCAGATAAAAGCCAGATTTACAATGATCCTCAAGGTCCTCTGTCACCTCGCTCTGTTCCCTCTCGGGGCCCCCTGCCCATCCCATCTCATGGCATTTCCACTTGCTCCTCTCCAGGTATCTGCTCAGCTTCCTCTGTGACCACACGTGAATTTAGACCTCACCAAGGCATCTGAGTCCACTTGCCTGCATTAGTCTTCTACTTAGCATCCAATCTACTTTACTTATTGCTCTGGTTCCATGAGGGCTGAGTTTTGGTCTGTTTTATTCACTGCTTGAACCCTCAAGGCCTGGAGCTGAGCCCAGCAGGCAGCGGACACTCTCTTAGCATTCAAAGATGAAAAGAATGAGAAAAAAAGATCTGGGGTTTTTTTGACACCTTTTCTTCACCCTCATTTCATCCTCTTCGCACCAGTGAAAACAGGATCCTTACTTTCCATTTATCCCTCCACTCTCTTTCCAGGCCTTAACAGAAACCCACATATCTAATTACAGAAGATAACATTATTGAGCACTGATTCTGTGCCAGGGACAATGCTTAAGGATTTCTCACATGCTTTTAAGGTAAAAACTACTCATATTTAAGATTTTCACAGTAAGAATCCATAGCTCATAGAGAGCCTCCCCCATAACCCACAGCTTACAACTAAAGAGTGAATCCTGGACTTGAACTCGGGTCTGTGACCCTGGAGCCAGTTCGTTTAACCTCCTGTGCAGACGTGTCCCACAACAGGAGGTTGTTGCACCCTTTCTGGTAGTTAGGAGCTCCAGATTTTCCTCACCTTTTTATCCGGGACTCATACTCTATCTTCTGCTTGGTCATCTCCTGTTTTAGGCTGGACACTAAGCTGTGCAGTGCACTGTGGTTGCTGGTGTTGTTGCCCACAAATGTCTCACTGTTGTCACTGCTGCTGGTGGCACGACTACTCCGGCCTCCCACACTCCTCCGGTCGCTTTTGTTTTCATAGTCCCCAGGGTGGGAGAGGTCATCCTGCGGGGGCCCATCCAAAACAGGGTCCTCAAAATTACCCCCATAAAAGTCTTGTTCTGGGCAGGTGGTGGTGGAGGAACGGCAGGAGTTGGAATTCTCGGGGAGGGAGATTTCACAGGAGGAAGTGGACCAGGTGGCACTGTCAACACTCTGCTTGTCATCAAGGTTCATCATGGAGAACTGCTGATGGACATTATCATAGGTGGAGAGCCTATTGTGCTGGCCTGACTCTCCTGCTTGCTCTTTCTGCTTATTATCCCTAAGGGTCACATAGCCATTAGGCAGCCAGCTCATGCTGCGACCGTTCAAGGGGTTCCCAAGTGTGTCAGGGTTCAAAATGCCCATTCGCACTGTTCCATTCTGTACACTGTGAGTGCCCATTTTGGTACCAGACCCCTTCAGTGAAGAGGTCCTTCTGGCCTGTAAGCTCCCATTGGGAGTGGTCTGGGTTTTCTCCAGACCTTCTGCATTACCGCTGCTGAAGGACCCATTGGTGACTATCCCACTGCCCTTGTTGAAAGCAGGATTCTTTTTGACCATGAGAGGGGGGCTCCTAGAGACATCCAGCTTATGAACGCTGTTCCTTGGGCTGTTGGTTTTACTCCCTGGTAGAGCTGTGGGGGATCCATTATCCACGCTGCTTCTCTGGGGAGACTCGGACTTTTCCCAAGAGCACTGCCTACCAGGACTATCCTTGGTATTATTGTTCTCCTTGTTCTGTAACTGGCCCATGGTGGCTTTCTTCTGAATTTCATTATTGTTGTTGCTCACTCCATCTTGGGGTTTGCCTTGTGGTTCTGTATCTTTAGGGAAGAGGCGATCATGTTTGCTAATCATTACTGACATCAACTGCTGGACCACCACAGTGCCTGTAATTGCGAAGAAAACACAGTTGTATGAGTGAAATAGTTTTATTTCTCATTTTGAAAAGGACTCTTAAAGAACCACATTCAGATGAACATTAAGCATTACTGTCAGTACTGCTGAACTATATTCTTAATGATGACAATAGCAAAAGAAGCTAAAAGTGCTTGAGCATTTACTATATATAATGAACTGTACGAAGCACTTTACTTTTGTTATCCCTTTAGTTGGATTTTAAAACAAATCTATGAATAGGTAGTTTATTATCATTGTATTGCAAATGTTAAATAACTTGACCAAGGTCACAAAGCCATTAAGGAGCAGAATCAGGGCTTGAAACGGAGTGAGCTAGTTCCAGAGAATAGGCTTTTAATCATTATACACCATTTCCTAGAAGTTTGAGATTTAATTATGAGAAGTCTTAAGAGAAGGTCAATGTTATCTCTCATTTGACAATTGACTCAAACGATCAATATATTTTAGTGGCATTTCTTAGTAGAGTCCTATATGATCTCTGGTGGGTATATGGTCTGTCTTTCTAATGTTGCAAGATAATGAAGTTCCATATGACTTTTGTTCACTATTCAAAAGCTTTGAGGCATTTTAAGTAACATCAGCCAGAATGGTGTAATAAGGATCTCCAAAAATCCTCTTCTCCATAAGAGCAATTCACAAAAGTATTCTGAATCAACATTTGTAGGAATCTGGAAGTTAATTAAAGGCTCGATACAGTCCGGAAAATGTTTATTCAGGAAAAAAGGTTGACTCAGTAAGAACATCAAGCTCTGTGGTATTTTAACTTTGTCCTCATCCTATTCTCCCTAGCTTTGCAATAGCCTTAAAAACTAATATTCCCCAATCCCAGTGGGAACTGGCAGCTTGGCAGTCCCTGCAATGGCCAGAACACAGTTGGAATTCCAAAACTCCATTCCCAGAATATTGCCATTGTTTGACCTGTTTGGTGGTTCTCTTGAAGACGCCCTCACAATGCATGTCCTTATTTGATCTGACTAGGAATTTGACCAGTGTGAAGAGCGTTTTTCTCAGGGGCGTCGTTCAGAAATAATGAGGGCTCTATTGTTTAACATCCCAGCTGCCAGAAGCAGCGGAATAACAGTTGGGACAGACAATAGGCTAACCACAAGCTTAAAAGATAAATCTGAGGAATGAGATTTCCATAGGGGGTTTTTGAAAAGCTTGGATCTATTCCTGGGAGTTTAGAAGACTACACGCATGTTTAGGGTTATGTACATCCCTGCAGCTGTGTGCATGCTCAGGAAAGAACTAATAAGTCCCTAGGCTCTCACCTCTAGCTGATTTTGAGGCTCTGTACAAGCAGAAACTGAAGGCTACTGCAGAGTTGCGAACTACCTACCTGACTGTCAAAGATTTGCATACAGAGCCCCTTGGCAAAAAAAAAAAAAAAAAAAAAGGGAAACTTATTAGCCGAGGCAATAGAAGGAAATCTTTGTCAATAACTAATTGACAACCAAGCAAACCAAGCATAAACTTCAGTGGCCACATTTGGTGAAGAATATAAACTCTATAGAATTAGTTCAGAAAAAGCACTAAACAAACAACAGCAAATCTGAGGAGGGAGAGGACCTGATATCCAAAGCCCTCACAGTATTTTACTACTAAAAATGTCCAGGGATCCCTGGGTGGCTCAGTGGTTTTAGCACCTGCCTTCGGTCCAGGGCACGATCCTGGAGTCCGGGGATCAAGTTCTGCATTGGGCTCCCTGCGTGGAGCCTGCTTCTAACCTCTGCCTATGTCTCTGCCTCTCTCTCTCTCTGTGTGTCTCTCATGAATAAATAAATAAAATCTTTTAAAAATGTCCAGTTTTTCAATGAAAATTATGAGACATACAAAGAATAAAGACCTTATGGCCCATATGTAGGAAAAATACACTCTGAGGAAGCCCAGACAGGGCACTCACTAGATAAAGACTTTAAATTGGTTATTTTGAATGTGCTCTAATAACTAAAGGAAACCGTATCTAAAGAGACCAGATGAAAATGAGAATACTGTCTCACCAAATAGAGATTATCAATAAAGATACAGAAAGCATATAAATGAACCAAATATTCTGGGGTTGAAAAGTATAATAACTGAAATGAACAAAAAATCAGGAGAGGGAATTAACAGCAGATATAAGCAGGCAAAAGAAAGAATTGTAATATCTGAAAATGAGAATGCAAAAGGATCTAAACCTAGACCCATCATAGTCAAGCTGTCTTAAACTAAAAAAAAAACAAAAAACAAAAAAACCAAAAAAAAAAAACTTGAAAGTAGCAAGAGAGAGCCAACTCATGTACAAAGGATCCTTAAGAAGATTAATAGTTGATTTCTCATAATTTCTCATTGCCAGAAGGTAATAGGATATGCAAAATGTTGAAAGACTGTCACACAAGAATTCTGTATCCAACAAATCTATATTCAAAATGGAGGGGAAGGGCAGCCCAGGTGGCTCAGTGGTTTAGCACCGCCTTCAGCCCAGGGCCTGATCCTGAAGACCCGGGATCGAGTCCCACATCTGGCTCCCTGCATGGAGCCTGCTTCTGCCTCTGCCTCTTTCTTTCTCTCTGTGTCTCTTATGAGTAAATAAATAAAATCTTAAAAAAAAAAAATGGAGGGGAAATAAAGATCTAGCTAGATAAACAAAAACTGAGAGAATCTTTTACTACCAAACCTACTCTATAAGAAACAGCAAAGCATTAGGCAGGGCATTTTAAACAATGAAAAGAACTTTGAGAAATAATAATTATCTTACACAGATGAAAATACTATAATTTCCATTTGATTCTCATATTTTTTACTATGCACTGTAAAGTATGAATTAGAAATGAATACAAATTTCAGACAGTAAAATTAACAGACCATAATGGATGAAATAGCTGATTTATTATTAAAAGCAATAATTTCTTTAAAAAAATTAATGGGTTTATCAATTTCAGCATATTAGCTGAAATCTCAAACATATTTTCACATATTCCTCACTGCCTTAGAAACTGAGTTCCTATCCCTTAAAATTGGCTGTCATCATTAACCAGGCTTCTCAATTAGTTTTCTAATTTGGAGCCCCTCCTCCCTCAATAGCCCAAGAAAATCTTTAAATATTCAGTTATTCATGTACCCATAATAAAACAGTATAGGCAAATAAAAACATCAATCATCTTTGCTTTGGCTTGAACTATACTGATCTGATGTGTTAACTGGGTTTATAAAAGCTCTTAGGAATAATCTTCAATAAATAAACATAGCAAAACAATTTAAATTTTAGTTAATAAGTGTAGTTTCTTTTTTTTTTATACTTTTTTTTATTTATTTATGATAGGCACACAGTGAGAGAGAGAGAGAGGCAGAGACACAGGCAGAGGGAGAAGCAGGCTCCATGCACCGGGAGCCCGACGTGGGATTCGATCCCGGGTCTCCAGGATCGCGCCCTGGGCCAAAGGCAGGCGCCAAACCACTGCGCCACCCAGGGATCCCCATAAGTGTAGTTTCTATATAAAATACTTAAATTGAGATTTTGTGAACAAAATGATGAGAAGGGCTTTGACAATGCAGGTTTCTACCAAACAGCTAATAATTGAGTAGCTGTCAGAGAGTAGAGGCCTGATATGTTGGGGAGGTCATTCTTTCGCTTAAAGCAACACTTTGACAAAATCTGACTTGAGTATAATTCAAAATCATATTTTGAATATGAAAAAATTGTGATAAATCCATCTATGTCCTGCACACTTCTGTGATCATCCAAAACTTACAGTATATTTACATCAAGAATCTTCAGTGTGCCAGGTCTGATGTCAGTGTTGCTCAAACATTAATATTCATTCAAATTACCTGAATTCTGTTAAAATGTAGGCATTGTGGGGGGCATGAGATTTTACATTTCTAACCAGCTCCTTGATGACACTAGCAGTAACAGAATAGTAGCATAAATATCACCTGGGAGTTTCAAAATTGCAGGACCTGCTGCAGACCTTCTGAATCAGAGCTTGCATGTTAACAATATCTCCAGGTGATTCCTATGTATATTAGAGTTTGAGAAACACTATGTTAGGTGGAGATGTTTCACTTAAATCTTTTAAATTAAGCTTCTCAAAGGCTATAAGATAGGACTTGAAACTTTCCAGATGAGAAAACTGAGGTTCAGAGAGGTTAAGCTGTTTGCTCAAGGTCACATAGATGATAAATGACCAAGGCGAAATTTCATACTTTGTCTTCTTCCTCCAAAGCACGCACTCATCCTATTATGTTTCAGCTGTTGGAATTTTAACTGTAGTAGTAACAAGTAAACTTGGGGTTATTCTAAATAAGAAATTAAATAAAAGACATCTATTTATTTGTGGAAGAAGAAGGACTCAATAAAACTAATGGTCTTATATATCTATCTTTTCTAGCTACCTCTGAATTTGTCATCCTATTTTCAGTGCATGGAGGAGTGAATGATTCTGATGAAAAGATTTTAGTATAGTTAAAATGGCTGTCAACACTCTCATTATGTACTGTTTGAAGACATGTGTATTTAGTCCTGTTTTACTATTTGCTCATATGACAGACACACTTTCAAATATTAGCAGCCTCTATTATATATGACTCTGTCTAGTACTTTGGGAAAAAATGGAGCTTTTCCCCTTCACTGGAATATTAACATTTGAAGCATGACTGCTTCTCACTATAGCTGTGAACCATGTAGGGCATTTAATTAATTGAAGAGCGACATTCCCAAGGTCTCTATCATGAGTCTGTGAACAGTCATGCCAGTTACCTGCCATAATTATAGAGTGACTGTCACGGTCCTAGTGATCTAGAAATCTCTTTCTTCTACCTTGGGAGGCTTTGCTTTCTTCTAGTTTCCAGAATAATAAATGGCAATAGTTCTTGTAAAGGGAATTTCTTTCAATTTTTATATCTTTTTAGGACAGACTAGCTTAGTAATGATCAAGTATGTATCACTATATACTCTCTTTTCCTTTTTATTTCCTCCTCTCTGTCATTCTCTTCCTTGGGTTACTAATGAAAAACATGAAGCCCAAATAATGAGGTCAGAATCACCAGCCCATTCTGAAGAGTCCGAGCAGATCCAGGAGTCCCACTGTGCTACATGATCCAGAAATTCTCTCTCGCTTGTACACTTCTATGAAGGTTGAATTTAAACCATATTATAGGCACTTCTTCATAAAAATTGGATAAGAATTCGATTTTGCTTTAAAGGAAAATTATGTAGGCACTTCAAAATACACTTACATATACACATATATGACAGCTCTCTGTGAAATGTAGTTTCAATTTGTATTTTTGCAATGAATAAACTTGTACATGTGTCATTTTGTATATGTGTAGATGTAAGTTATATCATGAATTTTGACAAATGACAGTCCTGGAAACGTCTAATCATGATATAGACAATTCCCTTGTGCCTATTTGTAGCCAATTCCCTACCTCCATCTCCCAACCATGACAACCACTGATCTGCTTTCTAACACTATTGTTTTTCTGTTTCTAGAATTTCACATAAATGGAATTATACAATATGAAGTCTTTGTGTCTAGGCAGTATTCACTTAGCATAATACTTATGACATTTACCCATATTATTGGATGTATTAATAGTTCATTCTTTCTATTGCTGAGTAGTATTCCATTTTATGAACGTACCAAAAATTATCTGTTCACTGATTGATGGACACCTGGTCTGTTTTCAGATTGGAGTATTTTGAAATAAAGTTGATATGAACATTTGACTAAAAATTTTGGGTGAATATTTAAACAGATAAGCAATTTTTCAGTATCATTTGTTGAAATGACTATCACTTTCCCACCGAACTAACTTGGCACATACGTCAAAAACAAATGATGACATGTGTGGGTTTATTTCTGGATTCTGTTCTATGACATTGATCTATATGTCTATATTCATATCACACTGTCTTGATTACTGGTGACATTATATTGAGTCTTCAAGTAGTATATTTCAACTTTGTTTTTCCTCTTCATATTGTTTTGGCTATTCTACATAATTTTTATTTCCATGTAAGATTTATAATCAGATTGCCAATTTCTACAAATAAAATTTTTTCTGTGATATTTTTGGGAATTACATTGAGACTATAGGTAAACTTTAGGAAAAGTAATAGCTTATTGATTTTGGCTATTCTAATTGATGAGCATATTTTTTTTCATAAATGTTTAGTAGTTTTCAGGATATATGTCTTATTTATATTTTCTTAACTTTATCCGTTTTTTATATTTTTAAGTGTTGCTCTAAAATTCTATTTTTATTTCAATTTCTAATTATTCAATGTTAGTGTATAGAAATAAATGAATTTTTATGAATTGACATTATACCATGTGACCTTGATGAGTTCACTTATTAGTTATAGTAGCTTTCCTTGTAGATTCCCTAGAATTTTCTACATAAATTATCATGTTGTCTGTGAATAAACAGAGTTTTACAATTTCCTTTTCTAATCTGTTTGCCTTCAATTCCTTCTTAATATTTTGTTGCACTAGCTAGGATTTTTACTACAGATGAAGGGCCAAAAATAGGCAATCTTACCTTATGCCCAATCTTAGGGGGAAAGCATTCATCTTTCACCATTAAGTATAATATTATAACTAAATTTTTTATAGACAACTTTTCTTAGGTTAAGTTCCTTTTATTTCTAATTTGCTAACAGTCTTTATCATGAATGGCATTAGATTTTGTAAAATACTTTTTTGTATCCATGGAGAAGATTTTTAAGAAAAATTTTTTTGTCTGTTAATATGGTGAATTACATTGATTTTTAAATGGCTAGCCAAGTTTTCCTTCCTGGGATTAAAACCCACTGGTGTTGGTTTATTATCCTTTTTATGTTACTGAAGTCAGGATATTAGGGCCAAAGATGTTAAAAAGATATCAAATAAAATAATTGTAAAATTAAATATAATGCCCAGGAAATATATTTTGTTGATAAAACTACACCAAAATGCAAGGAAGTGATTGATTAAAATGTCTGTGTAGTAAAATAGAATTTTAAGTGAGTAGAGCAGTAAGATGGAGGAACAGGACACAGCAATGGACTTTTGGGATGCCTAAAAAAGTTTTCTTTCTCTACCTAGGTGATGATTTCTAGAGTATTGTCTTTTTTTTTTTTTCAAAGATTGTATTTATTTATTTGTGAGAGACACACAGAAAGAGAGGCAGGGACACAGGCAGAAGGAGAAGCAGACTCCCCACAGGGAGCCCGATGCAGACTCTATCCCAGGACCCCAGGACCACGCCCTGAACTGAAGACAGACACTCAACCACTGAGCCACCCAGGCATTCCCTAGAGTATTTGTCTTATATAAATTCACTAAGATTTATATGTGTGCCTGTTATTGGTGGTTTTCCTTATCATATACATTCTAGTTTATAATAAAAGTTTTTAGAAAACAATAGACTAAAGTATCTGTATGCTTCATATAGCTTCACATTTTACATTTCCTAATGTCTGCTAAACTCTTCCAAAAGAAATTACGTTTTCTGTACCAACTAATGTACTGCCCAAAATCTGATGTTCGGTTGATATCGCCCTAAATATCTGACAAGGAAATGAAGCTGAGCTGATGTAGGCAGACACTTAAAAAGCTTTCTTTCTGTCTCATATGACATAGAGGAATGAAAATATTAGAATTTTCAAGAAAGGAACGTATCAGGAGTATATTTTGTTCTAAATAAGCTCAGAGTAAAACTAAAAATCATCATTCTTTCTCTTTCCCCCTTCCTTACTAAATTCTTAAATGTTCAATTAATCCATTTTTTTAAAAAAAGATCTTATTTATTTATTCATGAGAGACACATAGAGAGAGGCAGAGACATTGGCAGAGGGAGAAGCAGGCTCCATGTGGGGAGGCCAATGTGGAACTCAATCCCAGGACCCTGGGATCATGCCCTGAGCCAAAGGCAGACAATCACTGAGCCACCCACGTATCCCAATTAGTCCAATTTTTAGAAAACAATGATAGTATTAATGGCCATAGGTAAAAAGGGCACTTAAGCAGTAAGGCCTGCTGGAAACAAATGGAAGTAGAAGTTCATTGTGAAAAAGAATTTGAGGCATTTTCTAATCTAGAAAACAATTCATGTTTCAAAACAGTTTATAAGCAGCATTATCTTACAGAGAACCATTTTTTCTACTTCTTGAAATCAGTCAAGTAAAACCAAAATTAATAAAAATATATTAGCTTAAAATAGTTACTTTTAAAACTTTCTGAAAATTGCATGAGGCTCAAAAAGTGAACTAGATTTTTCTAGTTCTTTCATAGTACTTTACAGCTGATTTACTCTTGTAAGGCTACTGAGGAATCTTTTAGTAAATTATGTTTAGTAAACTCAAAAGAATGCATGACTCCTAATGAGAAGATTTTGCACTTAAAGAACTTAGGTCAATAAATGGAGTTACCACACAGATACGTATTTCCCTAGATTCCTCAGAAAAGAATATACTCTGATCAACCAAAAGACAGGTGATTAGGAGTGCCTGGCTGGCTCAGTCAATAGAGCATATGACTCTTGATCTGAAGGTTGTGAATTGGGGACCCACTTTCGGTATAGAGAATATAAATAAATTTTAGAAAAAACAAAACAAACAAAAGAGTTTATTGTTCTCTTGATGAAGGTATAGGTTAATAATTTACTTACCCTCCATGATAGTCAAAGGATCTTCCACTTTGGGGCGCAGGATATTAGGGCCAAAGACAGTGGCCAAGTTCTGCACACTCATTTTGTTAACTCCAGAATAGGACTGTACTTCATCCAAGAACCTGTTGGGTATAAGAACATGAACAAAACAATGGGATCAAATTTGTCAGTGGAAGAAAGTGATTTATTGGGAAAATTATTAAATAGAATATGTTTGAATCCAATATGGAGACAAAATTATTTAGAAATTCAAACATCTCTCAGTCACATGTTGGGAAAATATATTGCAAATGATTAAGAATCAGACTTGAGGGGATCATATCAAATATCATCTCTGGCCTAGCTTAGTTTCACTTCCTGTGTCGATCACAGAAACAGGTGTATTTGGATAATATGGACATGAGATTCAAGAATGTGGATTTTCTTTCAATCCTTAAATAAAATATTAAATTTATATGTACATTCTATTTGAGAACTATAAATAAGATCATCTGGTACAATCCTTTATTTCAGAGAGGAGGAATCAACCCACCTTATTGAGTAATTTGTGAACTTCAAATTTATAGCCTATTAAAAAATGAATTCAAACATGGTTTAAATTAAAACCTTAGTTCACTGATATGAAAAACTGGAACTTTTTTTTCAATTTATCAGGTGTTAAAGAATAAGAGATGTGAAACTGACTCCTCCCCCAAATAATTTTAGTAGGAGGGATTATTTTTGTAGTTTTGCTATCTTTTTTCATTCCCCATTCCCTCTTCATTTCTAGATTTCATGGCTTACTAATTGTACTGATGAGACAAAGAGGAAGTGATGAGAAATAAGAAAGAACTTATTATTTTTTCATTTGGTTTTATTTACTAATTTATTTATTTTTGTTTCAAATTTTTATTTAAATTCTAGTTAGTTAACATACAGGAGTAGGATTTAGTGATTCATCATTTACATATAACACCTATTGCTGATCCCAACAAGTGCCATCCTTAATACCCATCACCATTTAGCCCATTCCCCTCCCCCACCTCCCCTCCATCAACCCTCAGTTTGTTCTCTACAGTTAAGAGTCTTCTATAGTTTGCTTCTCTCTCTCTCTCTCTCTCTCTCATTATTCCCCTCTTCCCCTATGTTCATCTCTTTGACTTCTTAAATTCCACATATGAATGAAAACATACGGTGTTTGTCTTTCTCTGACTGACTTATTTCACTTAGCATAGATGAATGGGTAAAGAATATATATATATTCATATATACATATATTATTTGAAGAATATAAATATTATATAAATTAAATAATATATATTATATTCATATATATAAAGAATATATATATTATATTCACATATAACAATGAATATATATATACATATATATAATGGAATATTATTCAGCCATTAAAAAGAATGAAATCTTGCCATCTGCAACAACATGGATGAAGCTAGAGTGTATAATGTGAAGCAAAATGAGAGAACTTATGGTGATTTAAAATAATATATTTTATGTTTATATATTTCATTGTTCTAACTTATTAAATTCTCAAAGCAACTGTGTGAGGAAAATACTATGCTCATTTCCACTTTACAGATAAGACACATGTGGCACCAGAGTGGTTAAGAATATTCTCCAAGGACACAGAGCTGAGATTTGAACCCAGATCATCTGACTCTAGAGTCTGAGTTCTTGACTATTCCCCTGTGACTTTGAAGAAAGGCATCTGTTCCACATATTAATTACTGTTAGATAGGCCAAGCTATGATAAAACTGAAGGGCAAAAACTCATACCACTGTAATTTCTTATTTGAAATAGCTGAAACCAAAAGTCTGCTTAAATGTTCAAGAGAAGTAAAGTTCTCCTGTGGAGATAAAGACTATAATACAGTTCTCAAGGAAGTACCTTCTCCTTTTTAAAGAGGATATTCCCCTTTTTCATTTAACACAACAGCTTAAATTAGTTTAAAATCTTAGAACAGAACCCTGATGTATTAATGACCCTATGTTATCAGTGAGACTATTTCTTTTCATTTTTAAATTATGAAACCTAAGCTCATATTTGCTTCCTACTATCACCAGAAAAAGTTACAGTAGGAGATTCTTGAATTTCTACTCAATTACAGTTGACAGTGAGATCCACAGTGTCTGGCATAGTTCTCAGTCTGGTGAACATTTATCTAATCATGACACAACACAAAAAAAAACATATGCACATGATAATACTGTATTGAATTAAAAATTTGAATTACTTAAAAATAAACTGGGAAGCTTTCATTTAAGATATCTTACAGTGACTTACAGTGTCAATCATCTCTTTATTTAAATGTAATATGTTTCAATTTTATTTATCTGATGTCTTTAAAGTTTTATTTACATTCCAGTTAGCTAATATACAGTGTATTATTAGTTTCAGGTGCACAATATAGTAATTCACCACTTCCATACCACATCCAGTACTCCTCACAACAAGTGTCCTCCTTAACACCTATCACTGATTTCACCCATCCCCTCATCCACCTCCCCTCTAGTAACCGTCAGTTTGTTCTCTATAGTTAAGAGTCTGTTTCTTGGTTTGTCTCTCTTTTTCCCCCCATTATTGTTTGTTTTGTTTCTTAAATTCCACATAGAAATAAAATCATATGGTTTCTTAAACAGGTGCACAGACATGGCATATACTATCACAGGGCATAAGATAAATATGGTCATGAGTGAGGGCTTTACCAGGCACAATTATTGGCCTAACAGAATTGAATAATAATGTCTTTTTAATGAATTGAGATAAGAGAGAAATAAAAAGAAAATAATATTTATCAATTTAAAATACAATTTAAATTTTAAAACAACTGTGTGAAACGTGTTTTCAATACTCTTTTATCTGAGAGGACACTTACAGAGGCTAAGAAAATTGCATAAAGACACATAAGAAGTCAGTGATAGAAACTGGACTCCCGATCATTTAAAAATCAGGACAATGGATTATGTGCAAGATGGCAGAGGAGTAGGGGTCGTCAACTCATCTGATCCCACAAACTTACCTAGGTAACTTTCAAAACATCCTGAACAGCTACTAATTCAACCTGAGATTTAAAGAGACAACAGCCAGGAACGCTACAGAGAGAAGGGTTTTCACTTCTAACAATGTAGGAAGGTGAAAAAAAAAACACAAAAGAATAAAGTGGGAGAGGGGAACCGTGACTAGCAGGGCTGAAGCAGAGCAGCGAAATCCTCCGAGGCAGGAAAGCCCAGTCCTGGAGAAGTGGAAACTTTACAAATCTGCACAGGAATTTTCCCTGATGGAAAAGTGCTTAGCAGGGAAATTGGGCAGAATCACAGGAGGGGTAGTGAAGACTCAAGATTCCTGAAGTCACTATAAGAGGAGGGGCCCCTGGGGGAAAGGTCACTGCAAAATACGGTCCAAAATTGGTAAAGGGTTGGAGGGCAGCAACCCTCTGGGGGCATTTGGGAGAGGCCAGTCAGTTAGGTGGGTAGGCTCCGGAGTGGCCTTTACACTAGACCCTGGCAATGGATGGAGGTGGCTGTGCCCCATTCCCTCCAGGAGAGGTGGTCCCTGGGAGCACGGGTCCAGTGGCACAGGGCCCCAGATCCCAGGGCGTCCAAGTGGACAAAGCCAGCCATCCTGCACTCCCCCTGGGACAGGCGGAAGCGGGGAGGGCACAGGAAAGTAAGAACCCTCCTGCTGCTGGATGCCCCCAAGCTGTGCAGATCACCGCAACCACGCTGGCCCCCAGGAGAATCTAGACCAGTGTTGACAGGCAGACTGGCTACTGACTTGACTCCAGAGCTGGAAACCTGGCCGCTGCCAGTGTTGTTGTTCCTCCTTGTTTCACCATGTGCCTAGGAGAGGTGGGGCCACTAGGGAACACAGGCCTCACGAGTAGACAGCTCCCACCGAGCCCCCACCTGGCAGGAGGCGGGGCATCTCCCCCTGGTACAGACACCTGAGAATCAGCACAGCAGACACTTTCCCCAGAAGACCAGCTAGAAGGACAGGGGAAAAGCAAGTTTACTGAAAAAGCAGGCCTGGAAAGCTCCAGGACTGAGGGAAAATGTATATTGAACTAGAGGGTCCTTTTTTTTTCCCCATTACGACTCATTTTTATATCAGACTAAAAATTTCCAATATTTTTTTCTCTTTTCCCACCTTAAATACAATATTTTACCAACTCTTCATTTTTAAGTTTTTTTCCTTTTTGACTTTCATATTTCTACAATTACATGTCTTAGATATATTTTTCACTTCTGGATTCTCTTCAATGTATTCAACTTAATTTTGGTAGATATATGAGATATGGGTATTTTGTTTTTGTTTTTCTGCCTCATTTTGTTTTACAATGGTGGAAGTTAGTACCTTCTAACACACAACCAAAATATACCCAGAACCAAGTGGAACACTGTGTTGGTTCATTCTGTGAGATTATATTCTCTCTTTTCCTTCCCATTCTGTACCCCCTTTCTAATCTTGTTTATGTTTTTGTGGTCAGTGTTGGGGCTTTATATAAGGATTGCTGGTTTGTATAAATTTGGGATTGAGCATCTTCTAACATACAGAACTTAATACACTCAGAACCAAGAGGATCACCCTGTAGGACCTCTCAAGTAGACTACATTCTCTGTCCACTACTACTTCCTCACCACCACCATCCCCTCCTTTTTTTTCTTTTCTTTAATTTTATTTCTTTCTTTTTTTCTTTTTTCTTCTTCTTTGTTTTTGGTTTTTGGCTTTTTATTTTTACTACTTTGTTTTAAAATTTTTCACTTTAGTGGTCTTTTTGTTTTATTTTGTTCTATTCTTCTTTTCTTTTATTTTCTGATCTCTGACCTCTTCAGAATCATCAAGGGTGTATTTTACTTAGGTCATGGTTGATATTTTTGACTCAGCCTACTCACAGAGCCACTGTGCACTGGATAAAATGACTAGAAGGAAGAATTCACCACAAAAGAAAGAACCGGAAACAGTACTCTCTGCCACAGAGTTACAGAATTTGGATTTCAATACTATGTCAGAAACTCAATTCAGAAGTACAGTTATAAAGCTACTGGTGGCTCTGGAAAAATGCATAAAGGACTCTAGAGACTTTGTTACTGCAGAATTAAGATCTAATCAGGCTGAAAT